CGGTGCAGTACCAATTAATAGCAGGCAGCAATATTTAAACTAATCATTACAGAGATCAGCATAAAACAAAACTCTTATTAAAATTAACAGCGTAGTTACTAAAACTGATGCCGTTTCGTGCTGTTCATTAGCTAACAACAGAATCTAGCCAACACGGCCAGGGCTAGGGTTGCTTTTAGTCCTGTTTGTTCTGGAGACAAGGCTGGTGTGATTTCAGATGCTGTGTACACATATTGGTGTAATCCACTGCAGTGGTGCTAAGAGGGAAATGGCTCAGAGATGGTCACTGCCGTGATCAGACTGATGCCTGAATGCAACTGCAAGACTCCAAGTCAGGAGGCAAGGAGAACTTACACCACAAAAATACCATTCCAGTGCACTAAACTGCCAAGGTAGATACCTGCTCCTGATAACTTTTGAACCATTTGACAGAGTGTGAAAAGCTTTAATCAGCCCCCACAGTGCGCATGAAAAGAGACAGACAGAGCCCTTATTAATGTCTCCCACTGAAAGGCTGCTCAATGAAGTCACAGCTTCCTGAGGAGCAGTGAAGACTTGAGAGAGCACCCTCAAAACAAGGGTTTGCTGTGTGACCAAACTAGTACAGCAGGAGAGACATTTCACCACCAAAGAGGGATTTCTGCCTTACATGAACCTGTGATACATCCATTCCCTAGTCCACTGCAAATATACAATGAAACTTTTTTTTCAAATGCTTTCATAATTCATCTTGCCTTCACAATAGCCTAGAAGTGCATGCACAGTCATTTACCATGTCTCTTAGGGGGGAAAATTTTTTCAAATGTAATTCCCAAGAGACCAAATTGGTACAAAAGCAGATGCTAAACTGGCAAAGAAAACCACCATCAGATTTTTTTTAATCCTTGTATTTGTTTGTCTATCGATTCCCTCATATGACCTCCCTCCCTCTCTCCTGTTCCCCATCAGACTCCCTTGAACCCTTCACTTTTTAAGTCTGACAAGGTCATATTTTTGCTGGGTGATGTCAGACCCAGTGATCTAACTGCTGCCCTCCAACTACCTAACTGCTCTGCTCCTTAACTTTCCCCAGGTCTCAGCATATGCTGTCTCTGATCTCGGGGCACTTTCAGTGTCATATGGGTTGAAACATCAGCCAAGAACATCACCACCAATTGCTGTAGGACTGGGAGGATCCAAAGAGGGTTGTTGTGCTTAGATCTGTGTAAACACCTATGAGAGACAGCTCCTGCCCTCATAAGGTTATGGTCTGAAAGGGAAGGCAGAGCATGAAGGAAGTGGGAGACATGAAAGCTAAGTGTTCATAGTAACGCTAGTCACATAGCATGCTAGTCTCTTGCTTCCTCTTCACCTCCTCAAAATTAAAATAAAACAAGATGTTGGCTTCTTTTTCATAGAGCTTTAAATTACTATTCGCAGAAGTGATCATGTATTTCAGTCCACCTTGCTTCTGTACCAAGAAATGCCGCATAGTTTCCCAAGGAGGTCCTACAGTTCTGTGGGAATAGAAGCACCAGAAGATGGAAACTCTTGTTTGCCCACCCTCCCCTGTCAGAGATGGCTGCAGCCTCACAACAAGCTTATCAAGGATGATCTGAATGCAATGCAGCCCAAGGTGTTCTGCCAGCTATCAGCACAGGACTGAAGGGGAAGGAAGGACTGTATCCCTTTGCTTGCCCTCATGATGACTCAAAAGGAAAGGTGCATTCGTGCCATGCCACAGAGTATATATGTGTCCAGGAAAGGACAGAAAGGAAGTTATGAAGAGCAGGAGAAGGACTCTCGAGTAGGGCATAATGTCTCTAATGTCTAACCCTAAGGAAAATCATTCATTCTCCTCTTTCCTGACAGGTGAAAGCATACCAGCAGCACAGAGCTGCACAACAAGGACGAAGGACAGTCTGTCCTGTCCTATGCAAAAAAGTCCTACTCTTGAAGCGAGGCTTCAGAACGGTGTGTGCAACTTTGATTTGCATCCAGAGTGGAAACACGCTTGCCAGCCATCAGGCTGATCTGATTTGAAGCAGCTGAGATATTAAATGCACTAAACCAGAATGTATAATAGCTGTGCTGGCAGACCTTTAATTATTGTCGTGCTTGTGGGCACCGATATCATTCAAATTAAAAGCTTTCCCCACTACTTGCATTTTTTTTAATACGTTGATGTATGCTGCACTGATGGATTGTCCTCTGTTGTCCTTCTCTCACAAAATGCTTGGCACAATTTACCCCAGTGCAGAGATAAAAATTATTGGCACTCACTTGCCATATTTTTGGTTCTCTTTTCGCTTTGTTTTAAAACAGGGACTCCATAACTAGAAGAAAGATTTGACAGTTTGGAGGGATGAGGGATGAGTTAATTCCTCAGTCACCAGTCCTCCTGTTCAGTAAAAGTAGGAGTGCTTGTTATTAATAAAAAGACCAAAGTGCTGGAGCAGTCTTCCCTTAAGGAACGCCTTTGATAGTGTTGGCTGATGGTAGAGCAAAGTTTCCTTGCTGCTTGCTGCACAGATGCTCTCACTTCCCTCTCAGCTGGTCCATAGGCAGATATTTGGGGCTGGTTCAGTGCAGAGCTGCAGCAGCAGAAAGCTCGGGCAGCTCCTCTGAAGCCACAGCAGTGTCTCTCAGTGCTCGGCTGTCAGTGCTAGAACTTGGCTCCCTATCCAGTGCTGTGATAAAGCTGCTCATTGTCATTCTGGAGCAAGTGGAACTGTTATAAGCAGAATGAGCACAGTAGCGGTAAAAAATATTTACCAGAAAAGTTGTTTGCATCCTCCCTTGAGGTGGAAGAACCCTAGGACAGACAGAGAAATGTTCTTATTTATTCCCCTGTATGACTGGCACAGCACATCACGTCTCCAGTAGATCTTTGCAGGAGAGGCAGGACTGTATCTTCATGTCACTTCCCAATTACAGGCCTTACTTTGCCACAGCTGCCACTCCTTTCAGCTGCATCCTACAGCTCCCCTTGCTGTACATTCTATGCAGCTAGCTCACATGCAGCAACAGAGCACAGTTAGAATGGGACCAGGACTTGAACCAGGAAAGAGACAGGGCTTGTCTACTCGTCCCTGCTCCATATCTCCCTTTCTCTGAGCATCAGCCTCTCTGCATGCCTCACAGCAACACTATTGCTTGCAGGGGAGGTCATGCCTGCAGCCTGTTTTACCCATTGGAGACTTGTGCTGCTTGCCAGAATGTAACACCAGGAGCTGGAAAACTCCTGTGTTTCTGAGCCTAAATCTCTCACTGGCCTTAAGCAATTTGCTTCACCTTTCTGCCTTAGTTTCCCCACGTACAAAAATGAGATAACGTTTGCTTTTCTCTCAGGAATGTTGCAAGGATTAATTAGTTAACTGGGTTTGATTGAAAGATGCAAAGTATCTCACACATGTTAAGTAATGTTGTTTTCTTGGGAGGAAAAAGCCCCTCCACTCTACAGAAATGATTTTAGAAGCTAAGAACAAAATGAAACAAAACTAAGAATACTGGCTAACTCAAACAAGCAGGATGTGGGAGTGCTGAAGAAGGGAGATGGCCATAGCATGGCAAGGTTTCCAAACATGCTACCTCCAAGATATCAGGACTTGTAAGAAATAAAGTTTTTAGCTGTAGAGAATAAATCATTCCTAGCTGTCACAGACAGTGCAGCTGATGAAAGCAATGGATGTATTGACTGGCTCCAGCTGAGGAAGTGGCCAGGTGTAATTAATGCTCTTCTTAAGAACAATCCTACATGAGTCTGCAGACAGAGAAAAATTCACTTGCTAGGACTTTCCCTCCATGTGACCTTCCAGGGGAAGTGCACATCCCAAGATGTGCTCTATGTTTGCAAATAGGAATGGGTCTTGCTGAATATCATGCTTTGTGGCAAAGGTTTCAAAGCAAGCAAGCAAGCAGGACCCAGACTCTGAGCACTAAGCCCATATGTAGGCACTTGTGTGAGTTCAGTTTTTCAGCAGTGCTTAGCATGGGGTAGCTCACACTCCATTCTGCGCCCCTTTTTTCACACCAAGTTCTTCCAACGTAACCTGCATGGTTGAGTATGATGGCAGGTGTATTTTCTCCTGATAACCTTGGATCTGTATGCATTTCTTGTTCTGTGATGGTATTTGTCTGGCAAGACTGATAGGCAGGCAAGTGAATACTGCTGGACCTCATGGCTATTTAATATAAACAGAAAGACCAGAATCTCTCCACAGCATTGAGTAACTTGCTTTGTTCCTTCCAGAGCCATTTTTGTTCACTCCTGCTTTAGGCCTACACGTTAACTGCATTCCATTGAGGATGAATGGTAAGGGGAACCTTTACAAAGCAGAGGCTCTTGCTAGTGTAGCCAAGTATTCTGCCATGGGACAGCTCTAGGTTAGCTCTAGCATAGGGAGCTGAGCTTCTTCTCCTGCTTGCCACACTGGGCAGTGGAATCACCATCCCTGGAGGTATTCAAGAACTGTGTGGATGTGGCACTGAGGGACGTGGTCTGTGAGTATGGTGGAGATGGGCTGATGGTTGGACCAGATGGTTTTTGAGTTCTTTTCCAACCTTAATGATTCTGTGTTTCTATTTTCTGTTTTGGGGGTTGGACTCGATGATCTCTGGAGGTCCCTTCCAATCCCTACAATTCTGTGATTCTGTGATTCCTCTCTGGTTTGTTCAAGATTTACCCTCGTGTTTGGGTACCCTCATGTCATGGAGGTAGAAGACTCAGAAAAAAGGCTGGGAAAGTAGAAAATATGGAGATACAGTATCTCAAGGAAGCAGAAACTAAAGAACACTGCTGGTGGAAGACACAGAGGGTTGCAAAACATGCTTTCTGGTCCCCAGCCCGGGGCATGTCATTCTCTGTGAGGTGACACTCCTTGCTAGTTTGCCAGATGTCACAGTTGTTGTCGCTTTCACCCCTGTGGCAGCGGTGGGAGCGGTGGCTCAGTCCGCTTGTGGGATGCGTAGGAAGTGAACCCAGAGAGAGCGTTGTGTCTGTCTGGAGGCATCCTGCTGTGATGGAGCGGCTGAGAGCCCTTCGAGGTGAGGTCCCTCCACCTCTCTGGACACCGTGGTGCTGCCCGAGCACGTGTGTGCCTCCAGTAACTCTTTAGGACGTGCCAGCAGCACTGTCCTTGCTCTGCTGAGTGCAGCCGCCCACTGTGCTTTCCCCAGTACCCCAGCCAGGGGAAGGCTCTCTCCCCTCTCCCCACTGACCACACGCATGTGCCAGCGCAGCCCACCCCGCGCTGTGGGGCTGGAGGAGCGTTCCTCCCAGAGCTGGCTGCATGCTCGGCCCTGGCTCCAAGCAACACCGGCAGCAGCTGCTCTGCTCTTTCCTTCCAGGTCTCTTTGCCTGTGTGGGCTGCATGCCCAGACGCACACATCGCGGGGAGAGAGGCAGGGTGGAAAGCCCTGTCCCCACCTGTGCCGTGACTTTACTGCTGCAGCGCCTGCAAGACCAGGAGGTGAGCTGGGGGCGTCCAACCATCGGTCCTTGCCCTGGCTCTTGTCCCGTGGGTGCCAGGCCCCGGCAGCACATCGGCATAGCGATGGGTGGCAGCGGGCGGCTCCCCGGGAACAAGGGCAAAGCAAAACGTGACCTATCCCTGTCCCCAGGGTGACCGAGAGCAGGCGTACTGCAAGCTGGAGCACGTCCTGGGGGAAGAGGACAGCCGCCCGCCGTGCGGAGTGGTGAACCGGCTGCTGGCTGAGGTGTCCCAGGACCTGACAGCAGCCCAGGTGAGGGGTCACTCCCGAAGGCAAAGGGAGCTGCCTGCCCATGCTGGTGTTCTGCTGGCAGACGGCGCTGGCTTGGCCCTTCCAAGGGAAGGCCTTGGGCAGCCTCCTGTGCCGTGTGTCACCAGTGACTCTTTTTCAGGGCGTGACGAACAGCGTGAGAATGGCTACCAGCAATGTCCTGGTGGCTCTGGCCCGGACTCACTTCTCCTTGGTGATGGCCGAGCTCCAGGGCCACCTGAAGGCCACACGGGAGATGTGCAAGGAGTTTGTGCTCGTCACCCTGAGCAAACTCTTCAGCATCTATGGTAGAGTGCCCTCAGCCTCCTGACATCTATAACAACTAGGGAGAGGGGTCTCTCCCCTTGCGCATGATCTGCATAGAGCTGGGGGGTGCAGGGCTCTGCAGCCTCTCCTCCCTCCCTGCTGAGGCTCTGACCGTGCCCTTCTCCTTCCTCTCTGCAGCTCCACAGTGCATCTCCTTTGTGTGGCTGACGCTGGCCGGCCTGTGCAGTGTGGTGGGCCGGGTGAGGAGCGGCCGGACCCTGTGCACTGCTTGTGCTGGTGAGTGCCGGCCCCAGGGCAGGGGGGCTGGGGACAGCCCTTGCACCTCACCCTGCTGCAGACTCTCACAGGCTGCCTTTTCTCTTCTTTTGTTGTGCTTTTTTTTTTTTTTTTTTTTTTTTTTTTTAAATAATTATTCTTTTTTGTTTTGTTTTGTTTTGTTTTGTTTTTTTCAGTTATGAAACAATGGATGGACGGAATCAAGAGTCACTTGTCCTCCAAAAAGCACAGCCCCTGGCCTGCCACAGAGAAAGAACAAATGTATGAGAATCTTCATGAGCTCTTCTTCTTTGTGGTGAGCAACTGGCAGGACTGCAAGGAGGAAGAGGTGAGCACTGCTTCATTCCCAGCCTGGGATGGCAGCTGGGGCATCCATAGCAGCAGCTCTGTCTGTGCCCAGAGGGTTGAGAGCAGAGGGGTGACAAGAGGGTGCAGCCAGAGAGGGTGGGCTCTGCAAAGGGCCCCAAACTGGCTGTGCTTGGGGCTGGATCTCCCTGCCAGTGAGCAGTCGCAAGTCACAGCATTGTGGCAGGGAGAGCTGGGGTTGAGGGTATGGGGAAAACCTGCCTGCCCAGGGAGAGCGAGCCCATGTGCTGCTGGGCACAGGGGTGTGGGGAAGGGGAATGGAAAAAGAAAGCCCTCTCTGTAGGAAGGGCAGACCTTCAGCCTTTGACGCCGGGCCTCTGCCATCCCTCTCCAGGACAGACAGGCCGTTCTTGGAGCTGTGACTGCCATGATGACTGTTCTCCTGCAAGAGGAGCTGCCCCAAGAGCACGTCTGGGAGCGGCTCCTCTGGCTCGTGCACCCGTGTCAGGAGATGCAAGACACCTGCAGGGTGGCCAAGGTAAGATGTTGCACAGGGCTTGGTGTGGACGTGGGGCCCGTGCAAGTGCCACAAGGGGTCAGGGGGCTGCAGGGAGGAGGTGGGGAGCCCTTGGAGAAAGAAGGAGCAAGTGTTGAAGGGAGGTCTGAGGCTTCCTGAGCTCTTCAGTCAAGGAAGGAATAACCTGGACAGGAGCCAGGAGGGAGCCAAGAGTCACTGGTGCCCATCTCCTGGGGTTGGGAGGCTTCACCACCACCACTGTGGCGCTCTGAGTACCGGAGGAGCTCTGTGCTAACAACTGGGAGGACGACATCCAGTTGCATCTGATGGGGAAGAAGAGGGCCGCTGGCAGGGAAATGCCTGCAAGTGATGCCCAAACAGGCTCGGTTGAGAGCAGAGAGACTCTCTTGGTGCTGCTGGGAGGGGGGAAAAACAAGAACGCCTGTGTGGGAGCTTCTCCCAGCAGACAAACCACTGACAAACAGTTCCTCTGCTCCCAAGTGGCTAGATGTGACTTCAACCCTTTCTTCCTTTCCTGGTCTCTTGCAGAGCCTTATTATGTTCCTGGAGGCCTTACAGGGAGTTCAGTCTGTCATCTGTAAGGACAAGTTTTTGGTCATCACCAGTGCTGTGTTCTATCAGGTAAGGGGAGCCTATCCTGGTGTGCACAGCAGTTTCGCTCTTGGCTAAGCCTCAGGAGGACTGCAAAGCTCTGAGCCTCTGATGGCTGCTCAGTCTTAGCTCCTGCATATCTGTGGCTGCTCCAGAGCCCTCCAGGATGGTGTGGGCTGTGTTTTGTCTGCGTGTCCTTTTCCTGAGAGTGTCAAGGGAGACAGGAGCTGGCAGCACAGTGTCCTTTCTGTCCTCAATGCTGATGATTTTCTCAAATGGACTTTGTTCCCACAGCTCTCTGATGACGTCAAGCAGCACAGTGAGGCTGACAGAGCAGAGCTGACCTGCTGCATCCTGCTGCAGGGTAAGGAGAGGAGCTCTGGCGATGCTTGCCGGTGCTCTGGCCAATACATCTCTCTCTAACCTCACAAATGGGCACGAATTGCTCACTAACACAGCATGGCATTTCCTTCCTGCAGCCCGAATCTGCCCAGAGGAAACGGTCCTGTTTCTACAGTCACAGCTGGGCGATGAGTGGGAGGCTGGATGCGTGGCAGCCCTGGGTCTGCTCGGTGCTCTGGCTCGCTCTGATGGTCAGTACCACGGGTCAGGACTTCCAGGGATCCCTTTTGCCATCTGAGTTGTGCCTCCACGCATGCTTCTGTGCATCTCTTGCAGAGCCTGCGATGACAGAGAAGCTGCCTCAGATTACAGAGGCTGTGCAGCGTGTGTGCAGTGACCCCAGGACCCGGGTGAGCTGTTTGGGGAAAGGAAAGCATTGTCGGGGTGGTGATGCTGCTGCCAATACAGCAGGGCTGGGGTGACCAGGGATGTGCTGAGGCATCGACCACATGGTCACGATGGCTCCTGTCAGGAGAGCAGGCAGAGTGGAGCGGTCGGGTCCCTGTGCTGTGCATGGAAAGTGCACAGCCTGGTGCTAAGGCCTGGCCCTCACCTCTTCTCCTCTGCTTTTGTCATCTCTGCTCATGCCCAAAGGGCACCTGATGAGCAGGTGGCTTCCCTTGGCCTTCTGAGCAGGAAAATCACACCCCCAATTGACCCCTGGCAGGTGAGGAGGGCCGTGCTGCACTTCATTGAGGATCTGCTCAGCGCTAACGCCTGGAGCTGCTCAGCCTGGGATGTGGTGGGGCACATCTTCAGGGAGTTCAGCCGCACCACAGGAAGAAGGGTAAGGACAGTGGGCAGCATCTTCCTTTGGAGGACCTGTGCAGCTCATAGGCTGGCAAAAAAGCACCGGTGGGGCCACACCTGAGCCTCCCAAGAGACTCCTGAGAACTGAGAGTAACCAGTGTTTCAACACCACTGTTGTGCAGGCAGCCAGAGACCTTTCCGCCCAGGAAGCGCAGGAAGAGGGAGCTCTCCAAGAGCTGTGCATCAACATCCTGGGGTCACTGGATGTCTCTGCGAGAGGGATCTCCAAAGTAAGTCACACTCTGCCCTGCTGCCACTCCTTGCCCTTGCACCACGTGTTCCTCGTCCCCTTCCAACACCTCAGGTCTGTCCTCCAGCGTGCTCTGAAGGACACAAGACTCGGAAATTCAGAGTCCTCTCTATCTCTGAGCGGAGGCAGGAATGCTGACATGCTCAACTGCCTTGTTCCCTACAGCTCCTGTGGCCAAGGCTGCTGCTGTACGTGGTGCCAGCCCAGTACACCGGCATGCTGATCCCGGTCTCCCGCTGCGTCCAAGCCCTGGCCAAGAGAGGGGAGCTGACGGTGCGGGACATGGAAGATCTGGATCCCCACTTCCTCAGCTCCATGTTTCAAGGTAGGAGCAGAAGCTCCCCCGTGAGCTCTGCTGACCCATGTTAGCACCCAGAAGGGAGAGCAGAGGTGCACGTGGCAGGGCACAGAGTGTCTTGGAGTCTTACTCAGCACTTCTTTCTCCTCGCAGGCCCACTGCTGACTCCCCAGACACTGCTGGCACGTCTGCTGGTAAGTAGATGCTCCTGAGGCCGGTGCCACAAGCCCCGAGGAGGAAGCAGCGTGGCCGAGCGTGCCAGCACCTGCCTCACTCCTGGGGATGCCGTTCTCTTCCTAGCTTGCAGTGTCATGGGCAAAGCTGGTGGCTGCTCCTTGCCCATTAGGGCAGAGCCAAGCTGCTTTCCTCCTGGGGGAAGCCACTTCTCTTGCTGCAGAAGTGACCCTGTTTCTCCTTGCTCTCGCTCAGGTGGTGGCAGGGAGCCCTTTTGCAGGCAGCGAACTCCAAGCCGCTGCCTTGCTGCTCCTGCAAAACCTCCACAGCAAGATCCACAGAGCTGTGGGGGCCAAGTGGGCTGCTGAGATCCCCCTGCTGCTGCAGCGTCTCGAAGGTAAAATGCTGGTGGGGAGGAGAGGTGGAGGATTGGAAGAGAGGGGAGTGAAAATGCAGCTCTGCAACAGGTGTTCACATCTGACACAGTTGTTGTTTTTTGTGGTTTTTTGTTTTGTTTTGTTTTGTTTTTTTTGCATCCCCCTTCAGAGCATGTTTCCATTTCCTTGTATTTGCAGACAAAGAATTAGCCCTGCAGAGCCCATCTTTCTCCATATCAGATGACGCATTCTGTTTTTGCCTGCCTCCATGTAATTTCTCTGTGCCTCCTTCATCCTTGGCCTTTCTCAGACAGCAGGTTGAGGCCAGCTGCCTCTCTAGCAGTACACTTCCAGATCATCTCTGCCTGATGCTCACACTCTCTTTCATCCCTCTTGTTCTCATCCTTCGTCTTTTGCTTCACTTGTCCTTGCCCCTGCTGTGTACACGCCTGTATGACATGCTGGCAGCAGGTGATGACCACTGCCTTAAAAAGACCTTTTTTGTTGGCCTTTTTCACTTCAGATCTCTTGCCCAGTACAGTCTTACCTGCCCTGACGCTAGTCTCCGCAACTTCTGATTTGGTCACTTACACAAGGCTGTATTTGGCCTGCTGGGTAGAAACAATGTGTTTCAGACAGCATTAGCTGGGAAAAGCAAACAGCAATATTTTAATTTTACAAAAGAGAAGAGAAGGAAAGTTGTTATTTCAAATTTCAGAGTAAAGTGGTTCTTTTTTTCCTTTAAATATTGAACATCCATTCAGTGTTGATCAGCACTGGCAGGGTCGCCAAGCAGCAATAGCTGGAAAAGCCTGCATGATAATGAAACTCACACAGCTTCTGTGGAAACATGCTTTCATAGCTTTTAAAAAATAAACAGAAACCCAAATCTGTCTCCTTGACATTTATTCCTTTTACATGGAAGTCTATCTGTTGAAGAAGTTGTTACCACTGCAATCTGAGAATTTGCATTATTGGACTCTGAGCCCATCAGCAAAGTTTGTGTCTGTAGCACAGCATCAATATTCACTCAGTGCTTCTCTAAATAGCATGACTTTTTTAACCCTCATATTCCGGTATGTGTTCTAATTTGTCGTATATGTCACCAGTTGTTACATTTTAGTCCCCTATATTTTCATAGAATCATTGAATCACTAAGGTTGGAAAAGACCACAAAGATCATCTAGTTCATCTGTTTTTCCACCTTAAAAAATTTCAAAAATGTATCTCAGCCCAGCATAGAAATAGAATAGTTAATCACATACCATTATGCAACTGATATTAAAAACGCAAAAGCCCATATTTTTCCAGATGTAAAAATCATGTATCTGTTGGTCTAATTCTTGTAGTAAAATTCAACTCCACGATCCGTTGAATTCCATTCGTTCATTTTCATTTAAGAGTTGGAGCTCAGGAGCACAGGCCAAAGGAACAATTTTGAGAGAAAACTATATTTTGTCGTTAGAGAAAATGCTGACTGTAGAGAAACTTTAAATAATTTATTGTTTAGAAATGAGAGTACTCATGTTCCAATATGAAAAGAGAAGGTAAAGTGTTGCTGTTTATATAAGGGAGCAGAGAGGAAAAGTGGTAAACTCAGTGAACTAATAACAGTCAGTGCCTTCTATGATTTGTCCTGGAACTGTCTCTCCAAAACATATATACTCACACTTTTAAATATTGAAATTCAATATTGAAATTTTCCCAGTTAACAGCAGTAGAATGAGAGGGAATGTCCTCAGATTGCACCAGAGGAGGTTCAGGTTGAATGTTAGGAAACAAAAGAGTGGTGAGGCAGTGGCACAGGCTGCCCAGGGAAGTGGTGGAGTCACCATCCCTGGAGATGTTCCAGAATCTTGTGAATGTGGCACTGAGGGACATGGGGAGTGGGCATGGTGTGATAGGCTGCTGGTTGGACTGAGTGGTCTTAGAGGTCATTTCCAATCTTAGTGATTCTGTGATTCTGTTACTGAAGAGAAATATAGAAGGTGGACTGGAAGAGCCCACTGTGCTGGCAGAAAAGCTGAGGATACTAGATGAATGAAGAAGGTACCACCAGACTCCCAACAGAGTGATGGATAGTGCATCCCAGTGACTGGAGAAAATTTTGGACTACGCAATAGTATTAAATTTCTGATTTTCACAGAGTTCACCAAGCTTGCTTTTTGTGAATACATTGAAAACATGGTAGCAGGGACGTGGTGCTGCATGTTTCATAACAGCAATAATTTTTTAGTTTGGGAGACCACTGCCTAATACCAAAGCTGTATCTGAGACAAATTCTGCTAAGATATTTGTCCAATACTCCTTCTGTGAGAATCCAGCTTCCTTCCTGTTTATGTAAGTCCTTGGCTTCACCCTCCTCCTTTCCCAACTGCCTCTTCTGCTGTAGGTTGTAGGAGTATCAGAGAATTCATAGGTGGCTCCTGAAACCCTCAAGAGGTTTAGGTGCATTAGGTTAGCAGAGGTAGAAGCCTGGACCATGATGCAATTCATAATGTGTCAAATTCTCCAAAGAAGAGCATTTCCTGAAGTCTGGTGGCCTTGCAGACCTCCACAGAAGTGGCACAAGGCATTGGACAGAGAGCACTTTGTCATAGGACCTATCTGAAATCTAGGCTTAGAATTTACCAGAAAGACAGAAAGCCTTGCTGTTCTTCTAGATCAACCTCCAAGTTGGAAAAAAAATAATGTAATATTTGATCTGTGGGTGCTCAGACAGACCAATCAATTGGTCTGGAGAGAAAAACATTGGGCAGCTGTTCCCAGTATGTTGGCAACAAGAAAGAACAAAATGTCCAAATCTTTGTTGAAAGCATGTAGACCTGGTGTCTGCTTTGCACTCCTACTTAGCGGGTATCTGCATCACTCAGCCTTGACCCCAGAATGGATCTTTGGAGGTTGATCAGAGCACATCTGTGAACAATTTTTCTGGCACCCATCTGTGCATAACTAGCCTCCTCTGAACTTTCTGATGTACATTCAGATCAAGCTAGTGATTCAGATTCAGCTAGTCTGCCTCTGGTCTGGAAGTGAGTCAGCTCTGTCTGCTTTGCTCCTTTGAAGCATGCTACCAGTCAGCACAGGGATGATGGGGTGCCTGGAGACACCACACCTATGTGCATTATGGTTGGTCCTGGGTTCAGAGGTGGCTGGTTGCTGAGCACATGTTCTTGCCTAGCAGTCCCAGCCAACAGTGGAGCAGGACTTGCAGGGGATTGGAGGACTCACTGACTCTGAACTTCAAAGAGTCAAGCAACAGTGCAAGAGCTATGGTTAGCTCCATTCTCACTACAAGGATCATAGCAGGCCTGAAGCAATCCCTGCCTTCTTCATAGGAAGCCAGCTGCAGTTTCCCACCAAAGGGAATCTGTGGGATTCCTTTCTGGCTCTACAGCCTGTTAGTCAATGGCACAATGGGGTCTGCTCACGATATGGGAATTCTGGATGTCCTGTTGTGTGCTACAGAGCTCTTGGAAGGTGTACAGCAGGTTGGGGAAAGAGACTGAGCCAAATGGCAGCCTAGGTTGGGCTTGTAGGTCCTCTATCTGGAGCTTAGGGATATCCTACCAAACCTAGGAAGACTAGACATTCTGACCGTGTGTTTATTCAGACTGAAGTGCTGCTTTCCTCTTTAGCCTGTTCACATACTGGTATTTTCATTTAATCAGAACCAAAAGGTTTTGAGCTCTTCCATAGTAACATTACAGAATTTCATGTCCTGATAAGTTATATACAGAATCTGAATATACCAAAATTAGTATACGCATGCATGAAGTTTTGAATTCAGTATACACAGGCAGAAGGAACTGCATTTTACAGTGGAGCTCAGGGTGTGTTACGTGCATCAGCTGCAATGCACAACTCAAAATTGTGATGAATAAATGACAGGTGAAGAGCCAATATATAAAGTATTCCCCAATGAAGATGGATCATGTCTTTTCTTCTGCCTATATATTATTCACTCTACAAACAACTCAGAGCCTTGATCACACCTATTCAGATCATTTCTTTGCTTGCAGCAAAGACACTTGGGCAGAGTGGCATATCACTCCTCATCTTCTCTTTGACTTGTCTCACAAGAGTTTTCTGGTAATGCTCTCATACTTCCATGCCTGTCCAACAAAAAAGCAGACAGATGGTGTAAGGGGGATCTCGCTCAACAACCCCTGTCTAGAACGTAACACTCAGCTGTCGACTAAGTGACTTCCTACTAGCTAATGTGAAGAACTGTCCATGTTCTAAAACCCACTCAGGCGGAGGCATAAAACAACCTGCTAATGGACTGCAGGGGACAGAAAACTGAAGTGAAAAGACTTTGGAGTGAGCAGGTGGGTCATTTTGTCTGTATCCTGCCAGCCTCTGACATCGCTTTGCTGATGAGGAATCCTTTTTCAGTACATTTGATCGATGTTAAGAGGGACAAGTGAAGATTTCTGGATGCAAATACAGCAGATTTTCATAATAAAAGCACATTTATTACCTTCCATTCTTGTCTTAAATACCTAGAGCAGATGCGGAATATTGTTGATTCATGCTAACCACTTAGGCAATAACAGTTGAGTCACAGGGCATTTCCTAGGGATTAATGAGTAGCTGGGAAAGTTGATGGCCCAAAGCAAAGCAGAGGGCCATTAACCCCAGCCAGCCATTAATTCCCTGGGAAATGCCCTGTGCCTCAACTGTTATGTGTCACTGTGACCTCCATCCACTTCTTTACATTGTTACACAGAGGGAAAAAGTGTTGAGGAGGCACAATATTCCTGCTGGAGATAGCTCTCAGCCTTGTGAGTTCCTATCCAGGCACAGGTTGTGCTCAGCTGCCAACTCAGAAACGTTTCTAGAGATCTTTGCTGAAGAAGTGCATTTCTATTCAAAGTGCTTGGATAGCAATGGAGTAAATCCTTCTGTTTTGAAAGATTAGCTTATGAGCCACAAGAAGTGCAATGGGCAGTGTTCTAAGAGATGGGCAAGGACCACAGAGCCTGCCACATAGGAGTTTATAAACAAACAAACCATC